AATCGTTCATGATCATAAAATATACTTACATATACACCAACCAAGTTCTATTCACAGTATAAAGAGTGTAGAGCGTGTCAATGAAGTTCCACCAGACAATGATGAAGTTCTATACAATGTACACCAGATATGGATGAGTTTAGTCCAGAGTGAAAAGTTGTTATAGACATATTCAAAAAGACCCCCTTAGGAGCACCTCGGAGGTCTCAGAGTGGCTCGTTTCTTGATTTACGACGTGTGTTTAGGCGTTTAGCTTCACAGCTTCAGTTTTACCTATCGTTCTTTCCCCTATCGAGGAGCAGAATTGAGAATTGGGCCCAGTTCATTTTATACTTTGGACTTTAAATTTTAGCTCACTCCCTTTCTCCATTTATTATACTAATTTTTAGGATAGCAACTACCTAATGTAAACCGTGTCTATTTAAGTGTCTTCAGGTAGTCTCTATTGTTCAATTCGGTTTCTGTACCGAGTAAGAGCATTTTACACGCTGGGTGCAACTATACTAGGTAACGAGGATAAAGATTCACTTTGAAGGGAAAATAAAATATGAAAGTTTGAGGTTACCCGCAGTTTTGAGGTTGCCTTTTGGTAAAAGCAACACCAAAGTTAAAGGTAGGGTACATAGAAAAAAAGATAGCTAGATGTTTTATTTTATGCCAAGGCCATGATGGCCAAATAAAAGTCCAAAATATAATAATAATAAATAAATACAACGTACACGGTAATAAGAATTGTAATTGAGAATTACATAGCAAATATTTTACCAAAAGTACTCGTCAAAATGATATCTTGGCTTAAGGAAACTTTTGGGAAAGAAACGGATATCTTGGTTAAAGTAAATTATTTTTTTGATCCTGAAAATTTTGATTAAAAAGTTTTAAATAATTAAATAAAGTTAAACTACTACGTAAACAATTAAATTCGTCGAATGCTGAAAAAATTACATATTACAAAGACATTTTTTTGTTTAAAGTTTATTTTATTTAAACAGTCATACATTTGTCGTAGAAAAAATAAACTATATCTTATAGGGTAGACGTAATACCATTTTTGGCTACCTTAGCACCGTTTTTGGCCAGTTAACATTTGAATTAATTTATAAAAAATTATAATATCATAACCATATTTTTGGTAAGTTTTAAAAAATTTATATCAAAACAAATTGAGTTTGTAATGGTTTATTAATATAAATTCATTTCTATCGTTTATTTGAACAATATAAATGGCCATAAATGGTACATTGGCCACAAACGGTACTTCTACCCTATCTAGGTAATTTTTTGTTAATTTTATATAAAGTTACAAAATTTTTGGTCATCTGACAGTCTTAAATTGCTTGGATACAAGCTCTATCTATAGAGAGCTGTGTGAAAAAAAAATTTTCCAAAAAACTCGACACATGCAAACACTGAGTTGGCTAAGTGGTATAACTCTTTTTTAATAGCGCGGTCCGATCAGGGTTCAAGCCCGGTCTTGGCTATATTTTCATTATTTTCAGCTTGTAAATAAAATTTGTTTTTAAGTTGAGAATGATTTCTTGAATTAAGAAATATTGTATTTTTTTAATTAAAAATGATTTAAGAATAAATTAATTTCTTAATACTATTTTTAAAGAATTAGAAAAAATAACTTTTTTAGACTACGAACAAATTTTTGAAAGCCCAATTGTTCTTTTCTTTTATGTAGACTAAACTAGACCTCTTAAATATTAAAAAAAAAATAAATTAGACTCAAGTTAACTTGTATTGCTCTTTATCTTGATCCTCTGTGCGGTATTTTTCTTTCATTATTTTCGGTCTTTATATGGTTTGCTCTTTTCCTCGCCCGGCAGAGCGCATTAGTATCGCGGTTTGCCGTTATATTTCATCTTGTGCTATGTACATAACATGGCTTTGGCTGAGTACTGTAGAAGTATACTAATACCAACACCAACACTAGTCCATAGTACATACACTCCAGGAGCCGTCAGGTCAACCGAGCTGTAATTTTATGATGGAAAGTTTTAGGGGAAGTTAGTTTTAGAAGAGAATAAGCTGTCGACGAAAACCACCAACAGGAATACAAACCTTTGTGTCTACCACACAAACCTACTACCCTTGTTGGGAAATTTATCAGTCACGGTCATAGTCATACATTTTTAGTTTACTTTCTTTTTTCTATTCATTGGCTACTGGAATTTTTGGTGCTGACTGCTCACTAAATTAGTCAACTTTTCCAAGTTCTGAAGAAAGTTAGCGAAAAGTTTTTTGGAATATCTTCATGGGGGATTATTAATTGTTTCTGGCAAAGAGTTATTAAATTTTTTACTACTTTTCACTCGGAGAATCTTTTGTAAAAAATTTTTCAAGCTGAAGGAAATTTATTTTTTTTTTCAGACGAAGAAGAAATTTCTACCTCGTCTAAGACAATTTTTGTTTTGTGATTAATTATTGTGATCCCTGTGATTAATAAACTCTTTTTGAACTCAGCAGGATCAAAAATTTTTGTTAAAAGACGAATTATTTCTTGTAGCATTCAGTGTTATTAAGTACTGTCGGTTGTAAAATTATTGTTCAGAAATTAATGAAATTTGAAATATCAGTAGATTATGGTCAGATAATAATTTCATTAAATATTTTAAGAGAACCAGTTAAAAGATTTTGAATTTTCGAATTTCTTCATTTAGCATTGTCTTGTGAAAAATCATAGTTTTTATTAGTTTTTACGAAAAGTACTGTTCGAACTTTAATTAAAATTGAGACAATGAGAAAAAATTAGCAAAAATAACATATTCAATATTTTTCATAATTTAAAGTACAGATTTAAAACATGTGATAATACTGATTAATAAAAAATCATTAAAAATTAATAACAATCAAATCAACAGACATTTGACAATTTTTATGATCAATTTTTTAGTTAATTATTACATGGATAAAAAAATTGACTCAAGAGCCAAGAATACCATTTTGAAGAAAATGATTTTCTTGAGTCAAGAAATTATTCTTGATTTAACTAAATTTTTCTTGTCTCAAGAATTTATTCTCTTGACTCAAGAAAATCAGTTTCTTCAAAATTCTTGGTTCAAGATTTTGGCTCTTGAGTCAAGTTAATTTTTTTATGTGTAGGAAAAAATCCTACGTGTATAAATTTCAGAGAACTTTAATTGCAATTTTATTTAGTATTTGTCTTTCCCGATATATTAATCAAACAAGACTTTGCAGTTAAAATTTGACATTTGCAGTACCAAAAATTCTACTTCAATACTTTTTCAAGTGCTCTGTCAAATTTGGTAAAAATATGCCATGAAAATATGAAACATTTTGGAATTTGTCAATTCTTGAGATTTTATAAAAAATCAATTATAATGAAAAAAAATTCATATTTTCATTTTTAGTAATTTCTACATGCCAACATTTTTTCTCATAATTTACTTTTAACAAAAATCTAAAATCTAATATCTGTAAATTTCTGTATCATCCCCACAAAAGTGAAATTAGCTTATTCCAAATGAGTTTTCTGACCATCAAAAAATTTTTTTAAATCATTCTTGTAACACAACAAGACTTTAAAGTACAACATGTAAAAATTACAATAAAAACCCTCTCATAAGTGTCGAAACACGAGCAAAAACCTCAAAAAAGAAAATAATTCGCACGATCGTAAAACCAAAAATGCAATCTGTCCATAATCTCCAAATGTCCTTTGCAAAAACTTGGAGCCATCAGCGTGAAATTTACTCAATCGATCTCTTTCGACGCTGAACTCTACACAAAACCGGGCAAAGTACGGATGTTGTCGTACGTGTTGCAATTCTCTCCTCTATACACCTCACCACCATTTAATCTGCTCGTTTCACTCAATCCCCCTGTCTCTCTCTTGCTCACCATAACCATAATCCCTTTCCTGACCCTTATCCAGTACAGCGCCCTCACACCAATCCGGACATCTCGGTGTCCTCTCCACTGGAGTGCGCTTTACCTCCTTACCCATCCTCCAGACTCTTGAAATCCTTACCGGGTCATATACTCACCTTTTCGCTAGTCCCTCGATACGATGAAAACCCAAAACAATATTCTCGTAGGCGTGGTTTAGTGGCTGTCAAACCGCGCCCACTACGGTGTTATTAAAGATTCCTTTCTGTGGAATACTACCTACAATATTCCTCTCTGCAAGAGGCTTATATTACTAAATTACCATTACACACACACACACACACATACATACACGTCCAGTCTTTACTATCTGCACCTTTCTCTTACACCAACAGCGGAGTCAGCCGTACTATACGCTCAGATTACACACACCAACAGCCTAGCCCCGCCCACTCCGCGCTAGCTAACACCACTTGAGTAGCTGAACCCCAGTAGAGTAATTTTGCACACTTTATAATGCGCGCGCACCGTCCTTTAAAGCCCTACCACACTATACTAACTCCAAAGAGTGACGAGAGTCTTCTACCACTACACTTTACCAGCCAACTCACACACTCCAGTTTACACCGTATAGCACGAAGGTGTAGAACTATACTTACAGTCTCTACAGTAGGAGTAGAGTTACACCGCAGAAGCGTTATACTGCGTGAAGAAGTGGAAACTTGACTAGTATTTTGGAGGGAGGGGGGGCTTATAGTGCCGTCATAGTATAGTTTGCTTATTGTTGATGTCGGGTAGAGCCTGTGGTGGGGCGTGAGATTGTGGGAGGAGGAGTAGGAGATCAGTGGTGATCGAGAACTCGAGAAGCGCAGACGCGTTATGGTGTTGTGTTGCCTTCATACAAAAATATTTTCATATTTCGTTTATCCTTCGTATGAGTAACGTTCTCGCAGCCTCTGCTCTTCATTTTTTAAATATCAACTCCTTAAGGATTGTAATTAGTATCAATTGTTAATTGATAATCAATCATTCAACCGCTAAAAGGTTATTTATAATTTATCCTACTGGTGATCTGTGAGTGAAGTGATAGACTTAGATATATTTTATATATTTGTTGGATTTTCGAGTGATTTAAAGAATTAGGGATGTTAGCTAAGGGCGAGAGGGGAAAAGCCACGGACTTTAGTATCGCGGCCATAATGGCGCCCAGGGGTCCGTCCTTTGGACATTACCACCTGCAGGGACTTCAGGCTCTTGGTGATACTAGTAACACCAATGTTGAGTGTACCAACAAGTTTGACGCTTCACCTACTCTTGATCACCGTGAGTTTATGTTTATTATACCTTCCGACGGATCAATGCTCTTATCACTTCCAATGTTTATAATTTTGTATTTTTTAAAAATTAATAATTACACTTCAAGATGATTTTAATTTTTAATTTTCATTCCAGCGGTATTTTTGGTGCTACACAGAAAAAAAAATTTACTTGAATCAAGTAAATAATTTTGAAGAATTTCATCTTCTTGATATTTGAGTATCAAAATTCTTGAACTAAGAAATTTTTCTTGGTTTAAGTAAATTTTATTTAATTCAAAAATTTTTCCTCTTGATTCAAGACACTCTTCAAAATTATTTTCTTGGTTCAAGAATTTTTCTTTTGATTCAATTTAATTTTTTTTTCAGTGTAGAAAGTAAAAATTTTATTTTCTTAAACTAGCTAAGTCACAAAAATACTCCAAATAATTTTTTTTTGCACTAGACATATTTTTAAATGCAAAATAATTTTGGATGATCATTAGCTATCTATAATTTTTTTCAACAGACTTTTAATAATTTAAATTCAAAAGTACTCGTGATTTAAAAAAATAAATCGACTTTAAATCAACTAAAATTTTTTATCCTGATACAAAAAACCTAAAAAAAATGAGGGTTTTTGCCAGTGGTGACAGGATTCTGGGTGGTCATAAACCTTTGGATGTTAAGAGGGAAGCAAACGTTGCCCGAAGCCAGATCATATTTCTACATAACACTCCACTCGTGCTCTGCATAGTGTATTATATATCGTTGATTTTTTCGTTATAGTAATATAGTTGCTGTTAGCTTTAACTTATTCGAAGCTTTTTAGATCCTACTTAAACACACATCGTATATAGGACTTACACATGAGACCCGGACCACCCCGTCAGTGGTATTGGGTAGTTTTTAGTCTGACAGGATGAGTCAGTCTGGTCAATCTCTGTATAATTGACGGCCAATAAATAACAAATTTTATTTTAAAAGATCTGGATCACTTGTAGATTTTCCAGCCGCCAATTATCTAATTAATTTAAATTGAAACAAAAAAAGTTATTTATGTGAAGAGTGTCGTCTTACCGTCGGTGAAAGTCACTCCAGACTTCAAACTGAGGAACAGTAATACTTAGGCTTATGTTTATTCTGCACTTAATTATTAATTTCATTGCAAAATAGTTAGTTATAAAATTACTCAATCACTTGGAGACATTTAGCGAGCTAGGATAAATTTATTAGCCAGATAGTGTACTTGTCTTTTCAATTAACCGATGCGAAGTTAATAAATTACTAAAATTATAAAAACACATCAGCACTTAACGGTAAATTATCATCAAATAATTCATTTATTTTTCCGATTAATTGGAATCGCTTTCTCTTTTTAATGTAAAATATTTTTTTTTATTTATTAATAATTACAATCGCAATCAAAGCAAAGCAAAGCTGTTCGCACTTGATATCTGAAATGTCCGTGTGATATTAATAGCATTGGCGTGTGTATAAATGCGTGGCTCTAAATGCACGCAATATTATTGTACATATAGCATTGTGTGCTCTCTGATGTGTTTTGTTATTGTACTCTTTACTTTATTCGCGGAGAGATGTGTAAGTGCAATTGCATTACACACGCAATGGGAAACACATTTGGTACACATGAGGTTAAATTAGAGGTAGTGTGCTTATACTTTGATTCTTTGATGCATCTTTCACACGAGCCCTTACACCTCTTTATGATTTAAATTAAAGTAATTATAATTATAACTGGTGCAATATATATGATATACTTCATGTTTTTTTTTCTTTTTACTGTTGCGTTACATGTTGAATAAATAGAAGTTGGTGCAAAGTTGGGTAATCATTTTTTTACATTCAAGGTTTGGAGTAATTTAAAAAAAATTTTTTTTTAACTTTGAAAATATTTCTAAATTATAATTTCACTTATAGTGTAAGGTCAGACATGGAGAAAATTTACACTAATAAAAAAATTGACTTAAAGAGAAAAACTCATTTTATATAAAAATTAATTTTTTTCATCGAATCAAAGCAAATACATTTTTTAATCGAAAAAAATTTATCAAAATTAAGAAAAATTTTTTTTCTTGGTTTAAAATTTTTTTCTTTACTTGAAATAATTTTTTATTACTATATAATTGTGTTAATTATTATTTTTGGTGAAAAAAGAGTAAAAATTTTCTGTAATCGTTAAATACACTGAAAAAAAAAATTCTTGACTGATGGAGTATAAATTTTCTCGATTCAAGAAAATATTAAGGAAATTTCTTGCTCCAAAATAACTTTTGTTTTCCTTAAAATTTTCTTGGCCCAAAAAATTTTTTTTCTGTCTATTAATTTAACACACTTGTATGAAATTAAAGTACAAAAGTATTAAATATTTAATAAAAAATCTTTTTTGACCCAATGACGGATATTTTTACCCGTATAAGGTGACATTAGGTAATCTTTAAAAATAACAAAAAGTATTCTGAGATATTCCTCCATATTTCTGAGAGTTGATGAATAAACTAAGATAAGAAGTTTGAAGCGATTGAACTTTTCACAACTGAAAAAAATGATAAGTACACTTCTATACTTCTAAGTAATTGTTAGCGTTTAAATAAAAATAGTATATGTCTGAGAAGTTGATGTTTTCTTAGCTGAAGTTTAACTTCAATGAAGTAATATTCTCTCGGATTAGTAATCGTTATGCACAATTTTATTTAACTGGAGGATAACTCATTCGAGTTAAGCGTTCATGGAAGAATATTAGACTATTAAATCAAATACATCTATTTGTTGACTAGAGTTGCTTTTTGTCTCAATTATGATGATATTATATCTTCAATATATTAAACAAAAAACAATATCTTAGTTTGAAAAATTTTCTACTTGATTCAAAATTCTTTAAAATAATTTTCTTAGTTCAAAAATATTTAAATAAATAAAAATATTCACCGATAAAACATCTTGGACTAAAAAAATTCTACTTGGTTTAAAAACATTTTCTAGGTTCCGCATTTATTTTAAATTAAATAAATTTTTTTTTATAAAGTAGTTATATATAATTATTAAATTATTCTCTGTAAAATCAACGTAAACATATAAAAAATAAATATTTAAGGACCAAAATTTTCAATCCAAAAATAACTAAAATTAAATTTTCATCAAATAAAATTTTTTTTTTATAAAACTACAATTTTTCTTAAGTATAACAAGATTTCTATAGAAATCCATCAATGTTTAACTTGCAGGACTTTCCACCTAAATTATAATTTATTAAAATAAAAAAAAATTCGCGGTCAATGAAGCTAAGTAAAAGTTCCCGTTCAGAACTTTTACTATCTACAAAAAATTTCGCCAATAAAAATAAAACCATACATATATAAATAAATGCAAATGGTTGTCATAAAAAATCAATAATTAGGTGCGAAGTAAAATTTACCCACAATTTAAAAAAATTAATGAGTGACTGATCACGAAAAAAAGCAATAAATTTGTTAATTTACATATTTTAAGCATAATAACATACATGAGCATGAATATAAAAATGAAGTTGAGTTGAAATAGTAATTTTTCCCAGTCGTCCAGCACGTCCTCGTACCTGGGAGCTCAGATCTTGTGATTATCTCTACTCAGCAACTTTCTTACACAAAGCCTGTCTGGTACCGGTATATCGACATCAGATCGACTCTTCAGTTAAACTTTAACAGTACTGCATACTCCCTACATACAACAGAAACGCGAAACTATTGCAAGCACGTAAGAGAAACAGATGCAGCTGGCTTATTCACTTGACTCTTGTTTTATATCTATATATATAAATGTATATGCATGCATGCACCTCTACCATGATACTCCATAAGCAAGAGTGTATTCTCGGTCAGCAATTATCGGTCTTGATGCTTCCTGCGAGATACATCTGCAAAAAGGCAATTTTTGTTGCTGTTAATTTAACAAAAAGCTTGAAGAAAGAAAAAGAGAAAAACAAGACTGGAAAATAAGAAAAGAGCCTTGGAGTAAGCAACCTCCGATTAAAATAATCATTATACTTAACAACACGCGGCTCTGTCGATGAAAACATCATGTCTTTCCTCTTCTTGTGTTCCTTTAAAATGTAAAGAGTAGAAAAAAATAAGAGTAGCTAAGAGCTAAGTTTTACCGTGTTAGCGAATAGAGGAAGGAGGAAAAGAGAGCCTCGAAAATAAAAAATGTGAAATGATTTGAACGGCGAGTGATCTTTCTGCATAATTCGCTGTCGGGTGTGAAGCAAGTTTCTTGTAAATTGCACGTAAATACATATTTATATGTAATATTTATGCGGGCATGCCATCAACCGAGAAAATTTCAAACGCTTTGTGTTTACGTTTATTATATTACTTATTACTTATTCTATGATTATCGTGGTATATATTATATATATATATATATATGTGTGAATTTGAGAGTATAGTTATGTGCGCATATATGCGCTTCAATAAATATACTTTGTTTATTTGGTTTATTTAGTTTTTATGCGCACGAGTTAATGAGCGATAATTATACACTGGGCTGAGTGTGTGTCCATTATTAAAAATTTATGGGTTTTTTTATTTTTATGGGTTCATTATATATGTTACATATGCGTGGTTTGTTATTAATAGGTTATGGGCCCAGGTAAAAAAATAATTTTACCATGAAATAATGTTACAATTTTTTTTAAGTTAAAAATATTTAAGCAACATATTTTTTAATAAATAACTTATCAATAATAAAATTATGAATTTTTTACAATTCTAAAGATTATCCACTTAAATAAATATTACGTAACACAATTTAGAAGACTGTGATAATTAAAGCGTTGGATGGATAATTTAGCTGAAATTTAACAAAATAAAAATGAGCAATTTTAATTCCGAAGAGCAATTAAAAAAACATCAAGACCGGTTCATTTACCTACAATAATTATCAAGTATATCACCAGCTCGGTAAAATGTGTCTAGAAGTGCTGATATTTTTAAATAGTTAACAATAAGCAGTCAAAGCAATTACGATATTCCTCGTATTTGTAATTTATAAACACATTTTCCCGGTTAAATTCAATGTAGATACATATCCATACATGCATAAATAATTAGACAATTACATATATTTCCATATCTACTAGTTAAAAAGTATACAACAATAAATAATTCGAGAAGTTGTTAGCTTTTCAGAACTCACTTATTATATTCTCACCAATAAATTCATCCTTAATTAGACAAACCTTTAATTATTTTCAGTTAAATATTTATTTTTTAACAGATTAAGATTGAGATTATCTTTTTAAAATTACCCGTGAAATTATGTTAATGGCCATGAATTTTCGGATAACGAGGATCATTTGCCACCCGATAATGTTAATCACGATAAAATTTTAACAAAAAAATAAAAAAAAAAAAGCCAGAGCTTTAATTATCAAACTAATAAATATAATTTGGGTAAAAGAGAATAAAAATGTAACATTAATGGTTAATTGGGCAATAAAAGTAAAAATAAGTGTTAGTATTTTATAACAAAAAGTTATTTATCCAGAATAAATGATCGTAAATCAGTGATTATTTCTGCGTGGAGAACTCGAAACGCCGGTGGCCGAATTAATCACCCGACGTAAATCCTCAGTAGTGGGTTTTGCGCGAGATAGGTAAATAGTTTGCATATTTCACGTCAACGTGTGGGGGCTTATGTGTCCCATACTATATTCCATACATATGTCGACATATATATGCTTTTTAATGGTTTTACTCACACCTATGCCACATGTGTGCTTATGTATGCGCATGAGTCTGTGTATTTTTTGCTCATATACAAACACGTACGACTAAAAATATGTGTGGATGCGCAATGGTTAACTTACTATCGTCATAAGTATGTTTCCAACACGTTTAATGAGACTTATAGTATACATATGTAATAATAATAATACATATACATAATTATACATATATTATTATGTTTTTAGCCTTGACTTTTATTCAAATTATTTAATGATTATTGGTGTAATAATTTTTGTTTATTTGTTTTCATAATGTACTTTCAGTAGCTTTTTAGAAATGCTGAAATTTTAATATATATTCATTTGATTTATGAGACTTTTTTTTTTAATGAAGATATAATATTTATTTTAGATGAGAAAATTTAATTATATTACTTTCGAGAGTTCATTTTTGTCATAATATGTAAAGACCAAAAATTTAATCATAAGACTAGCAATCTTTTGCAAAAATATCTTTGTCAAAATCATATTTTAATATTTCGACAAAAATATTTTCATCATAGTTATGAAATGATATTTTTGACATGTTATTTTTTGGAGGTTTTTTTATTATACTTGATCAAAATTTTTTTTTTATGATATTTGAGACATTTGTAAAAAAAATTTTGTAAAGAATATTTTTGGAAAAAAAAATTTTAATAAATTAGACATGATAAGAAATTTTAGCAATTTCAAAAAAATTTTTTTGTAACCTTCAAAAAATACACAGTAAAAAATTTTGCGTCAAAAAATTTTGTGTTAAAAATTTTTATGTTAAATATTCAACACTATTATGGGTAAATTTAACATTTATTATGTTAAATCAACACATAGTGTTGAATATTTAACATAAAAATTTTTAACACAAAATTTTTTGACGCAAAATTTTTCACGTAAAAAATTTTGCGTCATTGCGTCAAAAAATTTTGTGTTAAAAATTTTTATGTTAAATATTTAACACTTTTTTGTGTTGATTTAACATAATAAATGTTAAATTTACCCATAATAGTGTTGAATATTTAACATAAAAATTTTTAACACAAAATTTTTTGACGCAAAATTTTTCACGTAAAAAATTTTGCGTCATTGCGTCAAAAAATTTTGTGTTAAAAATTTTTATGTAAAATTTTTTACTGTGTATTTTTCACAAAAAAAAATTACTATCTTAACAAAATTCAAAACTAAAACTACAATAAAAGAAACTGAATATATTTCATACACTGTAAAACCCAAATTTCCATAAACTTCAATGTAAATACTTCGAATTCTTTGACACAGAAAAAAAATTAACCATATGATCATTGATAAAGAAAAAGTAATGATTACAAAATTAAACAAAATGAACTACAATGTATTCGTTAACATTATGCATTCTGTAATCTTAGATCAACTTGTACACTATATAGGTACACTAATTACAATACATCTGACATAAATAAGCATGTAACAATAATTGTTTCCTCTGCATCATCTTTAATAAGTAATTAACACTTTATAATCCGCGTGTTTTAGCATAAATAAATTTATAATCAACCAGAAAATAATTAACTATTTTAATTCACATTAAAAATTTCAACTGCAAATAATTTATTCATTACATATATTATATTAACTTTGCCTGATTCAATTTCAATAAAGAATGATACAGTAATTACGACACATGACAGTTGAATCTAATAATCATCGCAAGACCATGGCATTTGACGACGTTAAATAAGGACTGTAATGATAGTTCATTTGCGTGAAAGGTTTCACTTAGATACCATCATTGCGATAACTACTTATATTGTGTATCTACACAATGCAACTTTGTACAGGCAATCGCGCAAATGAATACAATTATGCTAACATTTCAGCCTGATTGGGTTAAATTGCTGCATTAATATATGTATTTATTTTATTATCGAATATTTTGGAGGCTCGCTAACGTCATACCCCGTAAATAATATTTTATGGGGTAAAATGTTAGTTTGGTAACACGATAGGTTAACTAAAAGTTCGTTATTATCAAGACCGGAGAAGTTGTTGTCAATTAATAATAAGTCTAAAACCTGTTTCCTCGTTTTAGAGTAGAATATTTAATATTATTACAATAATAATAATAATAATAATAATGGTCATAAAAAAAAGTAAAAAGTTACTCTACGAGCGGTTCATTTTAGAAAATAAAAGTGAGGCCTATTTACGTGTTCAAGTTACATTAATTAAAGAAAATGTGTAATATGTAAAAATTCGAATGTTTTTAATGTAAAAAATTTTTTTTTCACAAAGAAAATTATGAAAAAGAATAAGAGATATTCTGCGAATTTAAAATATAAAGTTTTAAATTATTTTTTGTTTTAATTAAAAGAAAAAAACTGTTCTAATAAATATTAAACTGAAGAAAAAAATTTTTTGAAGAAGAAATTTATTTTTTTAATATATTATTTAATATATTGTACCTATTCTAATTATTGTAATAATGATATTGAATTTAGCAGAAATTAAAAATTTTTTTAGATTTTTATAACAATTAAATTATGATGAAAAAAAAATTTTTAAAGTAGAAATTTTAATGGAAAATTTTTTTTTTATAATAATTAATCTGTTACAAAAATTTAATGAAATTATTTTTTTAGATTTTTATAACAATTAAATTACAATAAAAAAAATTACCCAAAAAATTTTTTTAAATTTCAAGTACGTATCAAAAAAATTCAGCTATTTTGATTTAAAAAATTAAACTCTGAAATTAATTAATTCTAGGACGCCTATTTTAATAAAAAAAAAAAATCATAATATTACCGACTGATGATACGAAAATTTAAATTCTAGAATATAAAAACTAAAACAATTTTTTAAAATAACTTTATTGAAACATTCTCATTTATTGCATCAAACAAAATATTCTTGTGACTAAAAACATCCCTTCTAAAAAATTCTAGGTCAAGATCTACATTATAATAATTACAAAATAAATCAAATCAGCTGGCGACACACCCAATTAATAAATTAGCAAAAAAAAATAAAATGACAGATAAAAAAAATCCTAGCTTACATAAAATAAATATAAAAAAATGTTAACACATCCGTTCACTAATTAACACCGTGTATTCTACTTAGAATAAGTATATTATTAACTGTAATAAGTATTTTAGAAAATATTTAAAAAAGTTCATTCCTAGTTGACCGACGTTAATTGAAATAAATAGTATAAGGCAAGGTATTATTTATTAAGAGTATTATGATAAAATGTAAAGCATGTAAATTGAAAACGTGTTCTCGCTTTACACGCGTACACTTAACACTCCGGGGTATAACTATATAATTAGATATATTTTCATTAATTATTACTGTATTACGTAGCTAAATATACGAGACTACTGACAGTTTACATTTAATTACTTTATTTTTTCAGCCTGCAATTAATTAATTTTTTCTATAAATAAATAAATAAATAAATAAATTGCACAGGTATATGCTTAATGTTTATTTTAGTTTTAGTACTGCAAGTAGTAGTTGTATTAATACTACAGTGCGTCAGTGTCAGTAGTAAATATGAATATTTTATTTTATTGCAGGAGTGTTAAGATCCTCGCCGGTTAATATCGTCGCGACAGCGACACTGGTAACTGGAGATGCACTTCTAGACGACGAGGACGAGGACGAGGTCGACGAAGGTGTCGGGGAGGCGGAGAGTGTCGGGACTGAAAAATCAATTAATTGTGAAGACGATGAGGAAATAGATGTTGATGTCGAGGAATGCAGCAGTATTGATGACAGCCCTCTGGGCGGTGATGATTTGAGTGAACGGAAATATATGAAGAATATTAATAATAATAATAATAATAATAATAATAGTAATAAGAATAAAAATGTTGATAGTAATGATAACAATAACAGTAGCAGCAATAATAGAAATCGAAAGAACAATAAAAATCCCCACCAACGGCGGACTAGTTGCAATTCAGAAGAATTGAAAAATGTCGAGTGTCATCTTGAGACCAAAGAACTCTGGGATAAGTTCAACGAACTTGGCACTGAGATGATCATTACGAAAACCGGCAGGTGAGATAATTATGTCTAATTTTTATTTAGTTGTCACTTTTTTTTATCATTGTTTGAAGAGTGGCTCAATTAATTTTTTATTTTTAACGAAAGAATCGAATTATTAGATGGTTTGATTTTTTTGAATCAGATACTTTTTTTTTCTTGAAATTTATTCATAAAAAAATTTTATATGACAATTTTTTAATTGAAATATTTTTATTTTATTTTCTATGATTAGAAAAATAACATCTGTTAAAGTTTTGATTTAATACGATATTTGTAAATTTTTATTTTTTTGATGTTGGCAATACGGGAAATGACATACACAGATGGCGCCTCGGTTAGCGCGCGTAATTTGGATTTTTGTAGCCTCTAAAGATGGTGATTTAAATCTAAAATTGTAATTCTATATAATTATTGTAACAAACAATTTTTTTAACTTTCTATTGATGTTTATTTATGATTTTTGACGGCTGGAAAAAGTTTTTATTGAGTCTAATTAACGATTTTTGGACTTTAATTTTTTCTATGCAGAAATGATAATTTTGGCGTTCATAAAAATCTAAGTAAGAGAACATCAGCGATAATTGAGTCAAAAAATTAAATATACACTTTAAATAAAATTTTTACACTTTTTGTGCAATACAAAATCGGATGTTCAAATATTATCATTATTCCGTATAAATCAATAACACGTGGAAAAAATGTCCGTGAGATGATATTTACTGAAGCTTAAATGAGTTTTGCGTAATATTTTTTCATTTTTATCCCACATTTTAATATTACGTAAAAGTTAAACATTCAAAAGTTTCTTTATCTGTTTGCTTATTTTATTAATATTTCTTAATTAACTCAAAATTTTTTTTTTTTTTTCAAATAATTAAATTCAATTCTTAATCTCTGATCATTATTATTATTTTCCAAATGATTTTTCATTCCTATCAAGTCAAACTTTAAGAAGAAAATGCTACTAAAAACGTGTCCAGAGTTTCAATTTTTGATTTTTCAAACTTTCATAACAAATTAAATTTCATTTCATCTTTTTTTAACCCGTCATAATTTATTTTGAATTAAAAATCATGAAAAATAACTAAAATTGATCATTATTTTTGCTGTGATAAAAAAATTTCACAGGAATTGTAAACAACAAGTGAAATTTTTAAAGAGTAATTTTCTGAAACTGAATTATGCTCATAAAAATTAGCGTTCCATAAATGGTATACAAATATGACTTTATTAAGTCCACATTACTCCATACCGACTTTGTGCGCATAAGTCATAACATAATTAATCACCTTAATGACTCAGTGTAATGAAGAAGGACTAACCAATTCTTTAAAACCTGATGTATAATATTTTTAGTATCCCCTTTTAAATAATGATGTTATTATTAAAAGAAAACACGCGAGTCGCGAGTTATATTAATTTAATGATATCAAGATCAAGATGTAAAAACATTCTTTAACGACTTACATGTGTACGTGTTTTTTAAAATGGACATATAACAGTTAGGCTAAATTTATGTCTTGCCGATAGGCATTTAAAGATTTGTCGGATGTTTGTTTTATCTTTAATGTCCATGCAGGTAAAGGACTTTTACGGTAATTTTATTGACACTTTAGGCCTTATTCTTTTTTGCACTTTCAATACTACTAATGCAAAATTGAGCATGATTTTTACATCAATTCAAACCATTTTTGATTGAATTATCATTTGTGTATTTGCCGGCGGATGGACGGACTTTTTGTATGCGTATGTGTATGTGATCATGTAAAACACACTGAACACGAATATCTCATAATTCCGGCGTGGTCACGCATATTCCGAGCAGCGGAAAGGCATGCAGCTGCGACGTACGACCCTATACGTACTTTACTTTTAATAAATTAGCATAACCTATAAAATTGGACACCATTTTGTGGAGCAAGCTTTATGATCGTACGACCTGTTAATTATTTTGAAATATTTTCTACGTGTACAAGTTAGCTACTGATTGATAATTATAATTGATAATGAATGATAAGTAATAAATAAATAATTAACATAAGTTACAGTTTTCTGTAACTAAGTAGCCTGATCATTTCTACAGCTTATCCTTATCGACTTAAAATACATAAAAATGACATTAATTATTCGGTAACGAGTAATTAATTTGACTACTAGACATGTTTATTGATTAATTGCCTCTTTTTGTTATCAAAGCTCTTTAATCAACGATTTGATTGAGTTGTTTGTAAAACCTGTCACTTATCAGACCCAGATGATTAATGGGACTCAGATTCATGAAAATGTATTTTAGATTTCGAGTCAAAGGAACCGAATAGGCCTCGCTTGGGGTATAGAGATATTTTTGTTTTAGATGTTATTTAAAAGCTATTTATATTTATGGAAATTCATTAGCATGCAGTGTTGAACATACTTGGGACTTAATGACAGAATTATGGTAATTGATAAAGAATTTCTAATCATTAGATCAGTAAAAGTGTAACAATTAAAAAAAAATTTTTTTTTTATTATTGCTACTGAAAAAAATTACAAGCATGGAATGTGAGTGTTTTCCGTACATGCTTGTAAATTATAATAAAATTAATTTAAAAAAAAAATTAATTTAATATAAAAAAATAAAATTTATTTACTTAATTAAGTAATTTTTTTTTTCTCTAGGAGATTTAAAAATTCTTTGATATTTTTATACTGCTCAAAAAGTTGATTTGGTTCAATAAAAATAATTTTGCTACTAAAAAATTATTTTGAAGATTTTTAATGTCTTAAATTAAGCTGAAAAATTATTTTGTTCGAGAAATTTCCTACTTCATTCAAGAAAAATTTTTTTTTCAGTCTATTATTTTTAATACCAAAATTTTACTTTCAAGAATTTAATAATTTTTTTTTTTTTTAATAATTAAATCAAAAAAAAATAAATTTTTTTTTCAATTTCCTTATTTTTAGTTTAAATATTATATTTATCTAAAAATGACGACAAAAAAAATGTAATTAAAAGAAATAAAGTCACTTTTTTTGAATAAAAATAAAATATCAGAATTCAAACCTTAAAGATTTTTTGTAAATTAGTTTTAAACAGTAAAAAAATATTTTTCTTTTATGAAAGAGGATAAAAAGTTCGTACCAAATTTAAAATACCTCGAATCATTAAAACATTGTACTTTTGAACATTCCACACCGAAAAAAATGAAATGAAAAGATAAAAAAGAGATAGAAAAGTGAGTAGGTGCGGACGAGCAGCTCAGACGAGACAGGATGCAGTAGAGTGTACAAGTTGGTCACGCGAACCCTTCATCAAGCAATATGTATATATGTGGACGTATATATCCACATAGGGCACACAGTAGTCATGGAGCATGTAGGCACCTACAAAACAATAAAGCAAAATCATCCAGTCCGTCTGCTATAAGTTCTGCGCGATTATTATTATTATTATTATCACAATACACACTACACCTATTGTATCTACGATTATAATTACAGCGACACCTGGCCGTCATTAGCTGGACAAAGATATTAACCACAAGTGAGAATACTTCTACTGTCTACGATATGTTTCGATGTATCTGCTCCTGGAATCACTCAGAACTTGATTTTGATCCTCTATATGATATCCAAGCGAATTAAGTTTAGTCAACTCTTCTGTCATTAGCCGAATGTCTCCCTTGTAATTATATTAACCTCACAATTGACCTTGTGGTAATAAGGATCGAGCTGATCTTTAGCTGATCTTTCTGTGTTATTACTAATTGCTTCACAGTTTCCAAGTTTGATGACGATATTTTGGGATAATGATTATTGTAATATAAATTACCGACAGCTTGGAGTGGTGACAAATTAGTAGGCGGTTAACTTTTGACTTGAAGTTAGGGTTCCTAATTCTATTGTATTTTAAAGGTCGGTAATAGACAAGTGTCAAGTTTGGTGTGCTGGTCGTCGGATAAGTGAATCAATTCCAACAAGTAAATTAAGTATAATTTCTTCGACAAAAGATACTCGGAAATTTTTTTAACAATTAATAAAATTTAAATTTTTATTATAAAAAATAATTATTTGAGAGAAACTATTATTATTTTATAGGCTCAATTTTTTCTTCCCGTGAAAAAATTTTTGTATAAAGGTGATTTAAAATTACTTTTACAGCAAAAAAATTTGAGCAATTATATCTTTTAATTGACCAATCAGATGCCAGTAAATATTATATTTATTTTAAAAAATTAAATATAATTTGAGAATATTTTAATATCTATATTTGTTTATTATTTTTATAAATCAATGTTTTTATATTTATTTCTATAACTTATACAAAGAAAAAAAATTAAATTAAATAAAGAAAAGAATTCGTGAACCATAAAAAATAATTTTGAAAAGTTTCATTGTCTTAAATCAAAACAAAAAATTCTTGAATTAATTTAAATTTACTTAAACCCAAAAAAATTTCTAAGTTAAAGAATTTTTCTTCTCAAATCAAAAAAATGAAGTTCTTCAAAATTATTTACTTGTTTCTGGTGAATTTTTTTTTCTATTTATTTATTAAATTTTGATCCTAGAGCAAGTGCTCCCTAAGGACCATAATAATCAAATACATGTAGGGTTAATGTAATATTAAATATTAAATATAATATTAATTATAATATAAATATAATTTAGCCCCCAACTACCACTTTCAACAAAGTTCTTGGTTTTTATATTCTTGATTAAAGATTTTTAATCTACAATCGATAACTAAGTACAACTCTTAGCCAATAAAATCAAATTATTAGATTAAATAACTTTGCTAATGTTTCCGAGGTCACTTGAAGTTTTTTATAGATTAAAAATTTTATATTACTTTATTATCGGAAGCAAAATATTAAAAACTGGTATTCTCAAAGCATGTGTTACTACAATGTTATTGTTAAGTTATTCAACGAAAAAAAATGAAAATAAAACATTTAAACGAGTAGAGACTGAGTTAAATTAAAAGTGTTGAGACCGGCTGAGTGGAAGTTTTAATTTAATACTGTTAAATAGCTGGAATCAATATTACACCCCTTTACCTTTTAACATTTTTAACGTAGGTAGTTCCTCACTTTACTATTGTATCGATTCCGGGCTGTTAATGTTAATTGTGGCTTTCATTGTGTTTCTGTAAATTATTTTTAGATATATATAATGTTTTACACGACATATGATGGGGAAATAAAAAGTGACTCACAGTCACAGCTACCTTTTTAAATACAATGGCATAATTTTTAACGGTTGCTATTGTGAAACGTTTTTTTTGTTAATATTTAATTTAACTTCACCTGAATTTCATGAGCCAAGTTTTTTAATCAGTTTAATTAAGTGAAATAATAAATTTTTATCGGTACAATTTAAATATCAATTAATTCAAAATTTTAATATTAATCAGCGTGTCATTTTATCGCGGTTTGATTTTTAATAAAAACGAATATGGCCGCGAGAGCAAATATCAAATCAAATAAGTATTTATTCTAAAAAATATGCTTTTAAATGTGTTACTTATTTTATATATGTACATTTGAAGTTAAAAAGTAATTTAGATTCACTGTTTACTGCGAAAAATATTAAGTATTTAAAATGTACAATTTTTATATTTTGACAAAAAATTTATAGAGATTTTTTTTATAATTATTTTAAATTAAATTGAATATCACTTTTAATATATCCATTCAAATGAATATAAATTTAAATAATTATAATTATATTTGTTTAATTAAAAAAAAATTCGCTGTAATTGACATAATGAAAAATTTTTAATGAAGCAATAATTCTTTGATTGAAAATAAATATTTTTAATTTAAAAAAAATATTTGATAAATTATAATACTTTTAATTAAAAATAATATTTTTTATAAAAAAAAAATAAATATCTTTTAATTTAAATTAAGATTTTTCATTTTCTTTTTTAAGAAATTTTCACACTTGTTATTAGACTAAATATTTCCAACAATATAAAATTTTTTATTCTATAAAAAATTTTCTTATTCTTAAACCTCAAAAAAGATTTTCCAATTATTTTATCTTTCATTAAAAGATTGCAAAAATTTTTTACTCAACACAATAAATATCAAAATTTTCAAAATAAAATTACCTTCTCACAATATTCACAATCACCAATTAGTATTCTTTAATCTGTAACAATTATCCAAACGCAAATAACAAACTAAAAAAATGTCTTACAATTTTTTACTTATCTGCCGACAATTACATTTAAGTCATAGAAATTGCATACAAAATGATAAAAACATCATTACACATCTAAGTACTCATTACCAATACCCACTATTGCAACTATAATTGTTATCATATTTTGTAGTCATTTTCGAGCAATGACTAATGCGTTACTGGAAGTAGTAATCATACTTACCTAATTATGATTAAATGTTATTTCACAGTAGTAAAACTCATCAATTTAGCAAAGACATTAAACTATTTTATTTTTCCGCTCCACTTTATCCCCCTTTTTTTCCAAAAAAAAAAAATAAATAATTAGTATCAAAATTAAAATTTTCCCTTACATCACATCCGGCCCAAAAAAACATTTTCTAAAAAATACTCCATAGCATTTTTGTTGATATTTAATTTAATACAAGTAACAGAGTTCTATTCCAAAAATACAGTCTTACAATTTGTATTTTATTTACATTTGTATCCCAAAAAATAAAAAGGTGTGACCCTGTCAAGAGACGAAAAATTCAGCGCTTAATTCTGTTGTTGGCAGGTGTCCTTCATTCTCGGACTCTCATACCCCTTGCTGTTTTTCTCAAGGCCTCGACCAACTAACCACTCGGTCTTTAGGTCTAACATCTAATACAACAAATAAAATTTATTTATCCTGGCATATAAAGTGTGATAGGATAACGTGTAACATATAGCACATAGCATGTTCTCCGCGGGGGTACTCCCAGACGTTTTTCTCAAGAGACTATGCCAGTTTTTCCATTGCACGATTCTAGTGACATCACCCCAGGGAACTTATGCTAACGTTGTCACCCATGTTGTTGTAGTCGTAACTCCCTCATCTATTTTATGTTTCACCTTAGCCTTGTATTTTTTTAACGTAAATTTTTGAGTCAAAATTTGGAAACACACTAATAAAAAGACGAGAATCCTTCATGTAAATTTTGTTTTTTTTTCTTTTTTGCAGACGCATGTTCCCGACATGCAGAGTCTCGTTCAGCGACTTGAAGCCAGAAGCGCGTTACGCCGTACTTATGGACATTGTCCCAGTTGATGACAAACGCTATCGGTACGCTTATCACAGGAGTTCCTGGTTAGTTGCTGGAAAAGCTGATCCTCCTGCACCCGCGAGACTATATGTTCATCCTGACTCGCCGTTCACTGGGGAACAGCTTAGGAAACAGGTTGTGTCCTTTGAGAAAGTCAAACTCACCAACAACGACATGGACAAACACGGCCAGGTAATTTATTAGTACAAATTTTAAATAAATCTGCCTGAAAAAAAATCTTTACCGGATAAATTCACTTCGAGAAGGATTTTATTTATATTTGTAATTAAAAAAATTCTGTTGAGTGAATTTTTTATTTTTTTTATGGAATAAAAATAAAATAATAGCTATTCCTTAAAAAATTACAAAATGCGTGGGTATATATTTAGAAACTTTAAAAATGCAAATAATATTTTTTCTTAGTTTGATATAACAAATAAATTTTAATTTTTAAAAAAATTGCATCAATATTTTTTTTCGTAATTCAAAAAGTAGCATTTTTTGATAGATTCTCTCTATAATAAATTTATTTGTTAAATTCTTAAAAATTTCCATGTTAATTAATTTGTGATATTTTCCTTTTTACGTTAGGATTTATCGACAAGGCTTTAAAAAAAAAATTCATGAAAATTTAGTTCAATTTTTCAAAAGTAAAATTATTTAGAAAAATACAATTAAAATTTCCAAACTTAAACTTGAAATAAATTGTTTGAAGTTTTTGTTAGCAATTTTTTATCTGACACTTGTTTCAATTAATAAAAATTTATTTGAGTCTACACACACTGATATAGAAGGATTTCTTAGCATTTAAGAAGATTGCTCAATATTTAAAAAATATTTTTTAGTATTTAAGAAATATTTCTTAGTATTTAAATATTAAGAAATATTTTTTAAATACTAAGAAATCCTTCTATCAGTGCAGAAAAAACAAATTTCTTGCGTTAAGAAAATTTTGAAGAAGACAAAAGTTATTTTGGAGCAAGAAGAAATTTTCTTGACTCAAGAAACTATGACTTAATTCAAAAAATTTTCAATCTTCCTTAATATTTTCTTGAGCCAAAAACATTTACACTCCAGTTAAGAATTTTTTTTTTCAGTGTAAAAACTCCGTACTCGATTTTTAACATTGTATTTAACATATCAAAAAATTTTTTCATGAGTTTTGTCGATATTAAGTAGAACCAAAGTTCTAAGAACCGGTTTTCATTTCCACCTGCTCAATTTAAAATTCTATCGTTATTATTATTGTGATTGTTATTATTAATATGATCATTATTATCAATGAAAATATGTAAAAGGGAGTAAACCGAGCACTATAATATCTGGAGATTATGCTCGTAATGTAAAATCGGGAACAAGCTGATGTGAATAGGATTGTCGTAGGTGTAGGTGTTTTCAAGTTGACACCCAGCCAGTTAGCACGGTGCATTAAGTGTCTATACCTATAAGCCAATAAATTGAATGAATGTTTGCCCGGAGCTTTTGTCATGACCATCGAGCCCACGCCCGCTTGCTTTCTTTTCTCTCCTCGCTACTTATGTGTATAAGTGTGTTTTATATTGTACACACACATATATCAGGATCCTTTTCATCTGAATCAGCTTACCTCTTTCTCACATCCTCATGCACGTGATAATATTTTATAACCCGTGTTAGTGGTAGTCATCAACTGTATGAATTATTCCTATGTATCATCATCATAAGTAGCTACGGTTGATGATACACACCTACGGATCACCACCAAGTGATTAAGATAGTTAACTTAGATACTTTTATGTATATAACCTTTTTACAGAAAAAATTGTCATTTTTTATTATTTTTTCGTCGTCGTTTTTCAAGATCAATTTTGTTTAATAAAATATTTTTTATAAAAATATGTCTGAAAGATGTTTAGTCAATAAAAATATTTCAAAAATTTGGTACAGTAATTTTTAAATAAAAAATCTAATCATGAAATTTCCAAAAAATAATGTTTTTATAACTTGTAAATTAATGAGATTGAATTAAAAATTTATTCATATTTTTTTTTTAAAGATTGTGTTGAATATTTAAAATTTAAAAATTCTTTCAAATATTTCCAAATGAATTTTTTTTAACTAATTTTTAATTTTTCAACTTAAATAATTTTTTTTTTTATAAAAAAATTGAGTTAATTAATGCAAGCTTGATAATTCATTGGCTCAAAAAACGATTTCAATAAATTGAATTCTTTGAATTCTTTTGAATTCTTTCCAAAAAAAACTTACCTAGATTTCAAAATTCATTAAAAAAATCATATCACTGTTTCTATTTAAAAAATTTACTGAATTTCTTCAGCCCGATATTAAATTAATCTTTATATAGACATTATTGTCAAAAACAACCAAAATTTTGACTTTTTCAATACTTTACATTAAAAAATGTAAAAGAAACAAAAAAATAACTGAGAATAAATTATTTAAAAAATATTATTTAAAGTTATATCAATTTCTTTAAATTCTAAAATATTAAAATGCTCAAAAAGCTCAAAAATATAAGAGCATCTGAATTTTGAAATAAATTTATTTTTTTGAACTTTGAAAAAGGAACCCGGGTCAAAAAATTTAGTCTGTTTTATGATTAATAAAATTTTTTAATATTTTTCATTCAATTTATATAATTTTATTATGTGTATCTATTTTATATGAGAATTTAATCTGTTTTTGCCCGTACTATTCACAATTCAGACCAATTTCAGATCATTTTT